GTTTTTGCCCTGGATAAAAAGCACAATGAGACGCTTCAAACTGCTGAGACCAGACTGAGGCATCCCTGAATTCATCCATCCATCTTCTCTGGGGCACAGGCCAATACTGCATTGGGCAGAGAGGGTATAGGCTATTCAGCAAGATACTTAATAAACTTCATCTCTTGACTGAAAATCATCGATTCCTCCTTTATTCACCAAAACATTTATTAGTTACCTACTGATGTGTCCAGCAACCATCAGTGCACAGTTCTGATCTCTTACACGCTTCCCCCTCCAGCGTAACTCATGTTCCATTTCTACAATAAAAATTTGTGCTGCATCGATACCAAACTCCTTCCAAATACACCTCCCCAGCACCAGCTCTCCCTGCCAGGCTAAATGTAAGTTCCATCAGGAAAAAGTGACCCTCTTCTACACAGCTCTCTTATCCCACTCATATTCCTCTCCTACTTCATTCCACACCTACACCCTACCCCATTAGCAGAACCCAGGACCAATATGCAGCATAAAGGAATCCAGAAACTGAAAGAAGGATGAGCTAAGAAGCTCTGGGGTATGGAACCATTTCTCCGAAAGAAAAGAAAAGGGGGGGAAGCTTTTGTATGGGTGTAATTTCACCCCATGAAGCACTCCTTCCCCAAATCACAGCAGCTTGGAAGCCTGAGAAATTTCAGAAGGGTCCTTCAGTACGCCCAGGCCCAGCTCAAGTGCGTCTCACAGCTCTGTCTTGGGCCCAGAGCTCAGTGCTACTTCTGGGGTCCTTCCAGCCCATCCTCCCACAGCCCAAAATGACCTTGAGGGTGCTCTTTCATCTTCATCTGTGACAGCCTCTCCTTACCTCCCAATGTTCGTGTGAGTGTGTGTGTGTGTGTGTGTGTGTGTGTGTCCAAAGGCAATTCACTATAATGAAAGGTATTACTTTCAAGGCTATTTTTCTATTGTTTCAAAAGTATCCTATAGCATAAAGCCTATTGGAGAATTTTTTCTTCTATTTTCAACAATCTCTAAATCTTTCATAAGTATGCATTCAGAAAAGTAACCTCATTTTAAAACATCCACCTTAGAGAAGGCTGGACTGAAGAAGAGTGCTTTGCTGAATGTTGGCCATTCATAAGGACACTTCAATCAGGGAAAATGTATTTTGGGTATAAAAGCAATACTTATTCATCCTAGAAAGATACTTAAATACATAAATAAGAAAATGAAAACTACCGAGATTCCACCATCAAGGAATGATCATTGATGCTTAAGCATGTTATTTCCATTCTTTCTCTGTTTTCATAAGATGCTGTTTCTTGAACAGAACTGGGGTTCGGCTGTTTAGAATCATCATGTCTTCCTTTCCACCTCTCTTTCTTCTGCTGTCACACTGCTGACAGAGTTGCGATAATTTGTTCGCAACATATATGAGTGCTTGGCACAAGGACATCAGAGACAGGGTTCTCTGCACACTGGACAGAGAAAACTTAGTGGAGAAGAACCGTTAGGCTAGTCGACATCCATTTCCCCATAGCCTGACAAGAGTAACTAGCATTTCTTGAGGGGAATTGACCACACAGAAGCTCTATGATTTGGGTGGGACAGTCCCCTCCTTAGCCCAAGTGGTGCTAAGTCACAAAAGCATAAACCAATCAGGCCACTCAACTCCAACTGGTTGAATGATGACTTGTTTCCATCCAATGAATATCAATTCCAGGACTTGTGTTTAAAATTGTGGGGTAAGAAAGCTCGAGCTTTCTCTGTCACAGAATATTTCTATTTAAAGAGGGAATCTAAATGTCCCAAAAATATGAGGCTGCAGTGCTGGTACAATAAGAAATGGAGTGACCATTTGGCGTATTGAGGTTTGTCCAGGAATACCTGAACCTCAGGCAAGTTCAGCCTCTATCTCACCACCAAGCAGAACCCTCACCATAGCCCTTAGCACCCCGTCCTCTATACACAGGTTCTCCGTCTATTCCAGCAAACCTTCGGCTTCTGAACGGCAGGGCCATTCACTCATACCACTAAACATAGATTGCTAAATAATTATTCATGATTTCATCACAAAGGAAAACCAGCCAGGA